GTAGCCCTAGCTACATGGGAGGCTGATGTGGGAAGACTGCTTGAGCCCAGAAATAGGAGTTTGAGGTTGTAGTGAGCTATGATTGTACAATGGTACTCCAGCCTGGGTTACAGAGTGAAACCCCATCGCTAAAGAAATAATTAAAAAAATAATAATATGGGCTGTTACCACCAAAAAAACTGTAGAAACTGCTTTTTCACTTAACAACTTATTGAGGATATCTTCCCATCTCAACAAATATTGATCTACACCTTTATTTTTTATAGAGTTTGCAAAACTGACTTCCAAACAGGATTTTATCAATTTATATTTAAAGTAACATAGTATGAAGATCTGTTTGCCTAAACTCTTGATACAATTTTAACCAATTTAACTTTAATAACAGGATTTTATTTTAGAAAAAGTTTGTAACTTTCTGAAAAGGGATAATGGCTGACCAAAAAAAAAAAAAACAAAACACTTAGTGTCTTCTTTTTTCAAAAAAGAAATTATACATTTAACATATGTTAGCTTTTGTGAAGTGGTTGAAAGTATAAAGTTAAGCTCATTACGTTAGGTTCATCTCTAGGGAATAAATAATACTTTAGGTCAAGAATATGTCCTGTTATATTATCTGATAATAGAAAAACATTTTCTTTAGGATATGGGTTTCTTGAAACTTATCCTAGGGTTTTCAGTTTGAGAAGCATCAAAAGGTGTAAGTAGGAGAATTATGCCTTTAGCAAAAACTTTGTGATACAGTAAATACACAAATTAGATGAAGGCAGAACATACAATAAAGATTAGATGAATTCAAATCATTGGTACCTAATGAGCAAAGGGAAGCCTGAGAATTCTGAGGTTTCTCTCTAATCTTTTAATGCTGCGAAAACCACCACCCATTTTCCAATAAAATATCCCATAGTCTTTGAGACCAAAGTTTTTGGAACCAAAAACTTGAAGTGGATGGTCCATGAATCTAATTCAACATTATCAACCTGAAGTATTAATGTCCTAATTCTTCATTTGACAAAGATCATTATATTCCTTTAAAATTAGCAAATTCTCAATTGAGCATTTAAAATACAATGTGGTCAATAATAATTTAACAATAAATCTTCTAGAAACAATTCTATTGAATAAGGTAAGTTACACCTGTAATATACTTTCACCAAAACATTAGAGCTTTTTTGAAAAAGCAAATGTTACTTTTAAAAGTCTATGACTTCTGGCAGGGCACAGAGGATCACACCTATAATCTCTCAGCACTTTAGGAGGCCAAGGTGGGAGGACAACTTGAGCCCAAGAGTTTGAGAGCCATAACACATATGTCCATTGTTTCTTTAACCTCTATATGTCTACTTATGGAATTCTGAACTGAGTGGCAGAAAATCTGTTTTCTAGCTTTGATTTTATCAATTATTAGCTAGATGGTTGTATATATGGCATTTAATCTCTATAGAAAATACTAAAATTAGTTGGGAAGAAAAGTAAGGTGGGAATTAAGGCTTTCTGAGGTTCTTTTCACCTCTAAAATTTTGATTCTAAATACCAAGTTATATAGACATTTGACAGGAACCCATTAATAATAATAATAATCGTATATGGTGATTACAACACTCTGGCACTGCACGACATCAGGAGGCAGATTCCTATTAAATATGCCTGGAGTCATGCAATGCATAGTCTGGACAACCACAGGTGATGACCTTGCTGCCTAAGCTTTAAAGAGTCATTACTATTTCAGATAGGAGAGATTTAAATTATTACGACAACTAAGAAGCTAAAGGACTTGTGAAGCATAAATCCTGCTTAGAGCTGAAATGGCCAAAAAACCAAAAAACAAACAAACAAAAAAAACCATCTGAGCTGATCTCTCTTTAGGGAGCAACACTCATCTAAACTGTGTAAATTCTCTGGTTTGTTAAAAGAATCAGTTATGTCAGGTGTGTTTGGGGGGAGAAAAACATCAATCTTATTCCTTTACAGTTCTGTCTCATTAAACAGTGATATTCATTTATTTGGGGGTAAAATTTAAAAAAAAAGAAAGAACCCTTTTCTTCACAAAATTAAAATAACGTTAAGAAGACCTTTAAATAGCCAGGCATGGTACCGTGCACCAATAATTCTAGCACTTTGGGAGGCCAAGGTGGAAGGATCACTTGAGGCCAGGATTTCAAGACCAGCCTAGGCAAGATAACAAGACCCCATCTCTATAAAAAATAAAACAATTAGCCAGTCATGGTGGTGCATGCTTATAGTCCCAGCTACTCAGGAGGCTGAGTCAGGAGGCTCGCTTGAGCCTAGGAGTTTGAGGTTGCAGTGAGTTAAGATGACACCACTGCACTCCAGCCTGAACAATAGAGGGAAAAAAATATCTTTAAATAGAACTAAATTAATTCATTAGACAAATTTTACCAAGTCTCTATTGGCTAATAAGTATTTTTCTAAGGACTGTGAATATCAAGATAAAAAGGAAAAGGTGTCTGCCCATCAGGGGCTCACAGCTTAGGGGAGGATATAAACCTAAATACATAATAATTATAGGGAAAGGTGAATAAGTACTACAATCACAGTGTGTTATAAATTGCTGTGAGATATAGTAAAGAAAGAGGTTAATTTGGTTTTGGAGTTAAAGAAGCTTCACAAAAGAGCTGACAGTTGAGTTGGATCCTATAGAATCAACTGGAGTTCAGCAGCCAAGATACTCTGAGCAATGAGAATGCATACAAGCAGCAGCAAGGTCTGTGTGGCTGAGAGGTCTTTGATGTGAAGCAAGGAGAAACAGGAATCGCAGCAGGAAAGATTGCTCCTGCCTATCCCTCCAATCTCCTTTGGTGCATCTCACCCACTTCTTCCCAGTGCCTCAGCCATACCAGCCTTCACATGGCTTGTCAAAAGAGTCAAACTCATTCCTACCTCTGCTTTTCCAAGCTAGTCCCCTCAATCAAGTCTCTCATGAGATAGCAACTCCTCAATGAGGCCTTCTCTAATTACTCTATATGCACAGATTCCACTATCCCTCACATGACCCCAAATAAGTCTCTATCCTAACACCTTGCTCCTTTCCTTCATAGCTCTTAGCACAGTTTTTCATTTGTTTGTTGTTTATCTTTCACCTAGACCGTAAGCTCCAAGGGTTAAAGGGGCTTTGTTTCACCCAACATTGTAGTTAGCTTAAGTCCTAGACCATAAAGAGCGCTCAACATTTGTGACATGAATGACTGAATGCCTGAATGAAAGACTCAGTAGCTGAATTTTAAAAAGGAGAGAAGGAAGAAAGGAAGCCTGGAGCCAAATTAAACAGTTCCTTGTATACAAAGCCAAGAGTTCAGACTCTCTCATAGACAATGGAGCATTATTAGGAATTAAAATGATATTTTTTGCTATTTTATAAATAACATCTAATAAAAGAACACGACAATAGTTACTTAGTCTTATTTTTCTCACACATTACTTACTTCTCAATGAAGATATAATAGGTAAAGTAATAGGAATATGTTCAATTTCTAAACCATTCTCAGTTATTCGTCGTAATCGTCCACGTAGTTTAACATTTCTTCTTATAAATTCTACTGGAATATCTGAAGAGCTTGTAAATTTTGAAGTCTATTAATTTACAAAGAGAAAAATATAACCACATTATTTTCATTTCAAAATTTAAAATGTCAAATTATTATCTAAACATTTAACAAGACATAGCCATCAAAAATTTTTAATTTGGGCTGGGTCTGGTGGCTCATACCCATGTAATCGTAGCACTCTGGGTGGCCAAGGCAGGAGGCTTGTTTGAGGTCAGGAGTTTAAGACCAGCCTGAGCAAGAGGGAAACCCCATCTCTACCAAAAATAGAAAAAATTAGCTGGGTATGGTGGCGGAGACCTGTAGTCTCAGCTACTAGAGACACTGAGATGGGAGGAAAGATTGAGCTCAGGAGTTTGAGGTTACAGTGAGCTATGATGATGCCACTGCACTCTACCCAAAGTGATGGAGTGAGACTCTGTCTCATAAAAATGTTATTTTTTAAATTTGGTTCTTAATTTTGTATTATTAATACTTTAATATAATTTAATCAAATGTTTTTATAGGAACAAAGTTGGAGAAAGAAAATGATATGTGAATAAAATGAAAATATCAATAATGAGATAGAAAATTGAAAAAAAAGAAAAATTCTAGAGCTGAAAATTACAATAAAAAATAAAAAATTCACTAGAGGGATTCAAAGGCATATTTGAACATACAGAAGAAGGAATCAACAAACTTAAAGATAGGACAATTTAAGTTACTGAGTCTGTGAAACAGAAGGAAAAAAGATTGGAAAAAAGTGAATAGAGCCTAAGGGACATATGGGATACCATTGAGTGGGGACATAACTACGAATTCTACAGAAATAAAAAAACTGTAAGTGAGTACTATGAACCATTGTATACCAATGAATTGGATAATTGAGATGAAATGAATGGATAAATTCCTAGAAACACAAAACCTTCCAAGACTGAATCGTGAAGAAATAAAAAACCTAAATAACTGGTAAGGTAGTTAAATTAGTAATGAAAAATCTCTCCCCCAAGAAAAGCCCTGTAGCTGATGGCATCACTGGTGACTTTGAACAAGTATTTAAAGAACTAACATCAATCCTTCTCAAACTTTTCCCAAGAACTGAAGAGAAAACAGTTCCTAACTCAGTCTATGAGGCCAGCATTACCCCTGATAAAGCTATACAAGACACTACAAGAAACTAAAACTATAGACCAATATCTATTATAAACACTGATGCGAAAATCCTTAATACTAGCAAACCAAATTTGGCCACATATTAAAAGGATTATCTATCATAACCAAGTGGTATTTATTCCTAGAATGCAACATGTAAAAAAATCAATATAATATACCATATTAACATAATAAAGAAAAAAACCCAGATGATTATCTTAATTGATGCAGAAAAAGCATTTAACAAAATTCAACATCTTTTTATGATAACAACACTCACTAGGAACAGAAGGAAACTACTTTAACATAATAAAAGCCATATATGAAACAAAAAACACAGCAAACATTATACTCAATGGTAAAAGACTTTTCCTCTAAGATCAGAAACAAGGCAAAAATGTCCACTCTCAGCAGTTCTACTCAACACAGTACCAGGAGTCCTAGCCAGAGCCCTTAGGCAAGAAAAAGAAATAAAAGGCATCTAAAAAAAAAAAAAAGGCATCTAAACTAAGATGGAAGAAGTAAAATTATTTCTCTTCACAGTTAATATTATCTTACATACACAAACTCCTAAAAAAAACTATGAGAACACACAAATTCAGCAAGGTAACAGCATATAAAGTCAACACACAAAAATCAATTGCATTTCTATACACTGACAATAAACAATCTGAAAAAGAAATTATGAAAACAATTCCATTCACAGTAGGTCAAAGAATTAACTTAATCAAGGAGGTGAAAGACTTGTGCAATGAAAACTATAAAACATTGCTGAAAGAAATTAAAGAAGGCATAAATGAAAAGCTATCCCATGTTTACAGACTGGAAAACTTAGTATTGGTAAAATGTTAATATTCCCCAAAGAGATCTATAGATTCAGTACAACCCCTATTAAAATCCCAAAGACATCTTTTGCAGAAATAGAAAAATCCACCCTCAAATTCATATGGAATCTCAACGGACTCCAAATAACCAAACAATTTTGAAAAAAGGACAAAGTTAGAGGACTCACACTTCCTAATTTCAACACATATTACAAAGCTACAGTAATCAAAACCATGTAGTACTGGCATAAAAATATGACATACAAACCAATGGAATAGAGGGCCCAGAAATAAACCCTTACATATATGGTTAAATGATATTCAACAAGGGTAACAAGACCATTCCATGGGGGAAGAGGCAGTCTTTTCAAAAATGGTGCTGGGAAAAGTGGATATACACATGCAAAAGAATAAAGTTGGGGCCGGGCGCGGTGGCTCACGCCTGTAATCCTAGCACTCTGGGAGGCTGAGGCGGGCGGATTGTTTGAGCTCA